TCCTTCATCCGTCCACTCTTCGCCTGCCTTAGGGGCTGCACGAAATATACGTTGCAGGTAAGACAAATATATACCCCAAGGGGGACGATGGAAGACGAAAAGGGCGCGTATCAAGGGTCGACGTAGCTGTAGCTGCTGCGGCTGCATCTGCTGCTGATGAGTTTGTTTCTGAAGGATCTTTATTGTTGGTAACACATGTAGTTTTTTCAAGTGAAGTGCCCCTTCCTGAGGCTCGCGCCCGGTTTTTCATGAGGGAAAGTTTCGGTGCTCAAGCTACGCCAGTGGCCCCCGAACGACAGCAATAACTGCTCCCGCCTGATACATCCTCGCAATTTGTTGAAGAATCGCTCTCTCGCTTTGGAAATCCGTGGAATTTGCCCAGGAATCGCGCTCTCGCCTGAGACTCCCTTGCAATACAATTTGGCACCGCGCTTTCGCCATTCAGGACTTGCGCTCTCGCTTGGGACTTCTACAGAATTTACTTAAGAATCGCGCTCGCGCCTGGGACTTCCTTGAGAATTCTTCAGGACTCACGCATTCGCGATTTTAAGGAAACCCGCCTGCGCTTGAGACTTCCTCGCAGTCTACTGCAGAATCGCGCTCTCGCCTGAGGCCCCCCTACAATTTACCCAGGCGCCGCCGGCTCGCCATTCATGAAACGCGCCTTCGCCTGGGACTTCTTGATAGTTGACGTAAGACTCGTGCTCTCGCCCAGGACTTCCTTGCGAATTGGCAGGAATTGCGCATTCGGGGTCCGCCCACCTGGCACTGTAAGGCCCGCTGTCGCTGCTCGTTGCTTTCCGTCCGCTTCGATGCGTCTCGCTTCCGCTCGCTGTACCGCAGTCGGATTTCAAGGCCCCGCCGCTGCCTTTGTGGTCCCCTCGATGCCCCTCGTGGCCCCGCTGTTTGAGCTCCTCGATGCTCTTGATGGTTCCGCGATCGCCTTTCGTGGCCCCGTCGCTGACCTACGTGGCCCTGATGCCGCTTTTCGTGGCCCTGTCGCTGCCCGCTCTGGCCTCTTGGCAGCCCTCAGTGGTCCCCTCTTTGCGCTTCGGGGCGCCATACATGCTCTTCGTGTCCCCTCTTTGCGCGTCGTGGCGCCATAACATGCTCTTCGTGGCCCCCGCTCGCTCGCGCCCTTAATGGTCCCATTTCTGCCCTTCGTGGCCCCTCCCTCCCCCTGTGGCCCAATCGCTGCCCCTCGTGTCCCCGCCGCTGCCTTCAGTGGCCTCGTTGGCCGCCCTTCGGGGCCCGTGTATATACGCCCTTCGTGGCCCCCGGTCGCTCGTGCCCTCAGTGGCCCCCTTGTTGCCTTTCGTTGCTGCCCCAGCGTAGCCTTTCGTGGCGTCTTTGCTGCCCTTCGTGCCCCCCTGTTTCAGGGGCGGCACCAAACATGCGCGGCAGGTGAGGAGGATATACCCCCAGGGGGGATACGATCGAAAACGAAGAGGGCGGGTACCGAGGGTTTGGGATTTACGGGTTGAATGGCACGCGAGCAGGTAAGAATCAACAGTCTCAACATGGTTGTTGTTGTTGCTGTTGCTGCTGTCGCTGTGGTTGTGGTTGAAAGCTCAGTACGGACAAATAATTATTGTTTACCCCTCCTCCGGTGACCATTGTGTTTTCCAATTGAAGTGCTTCCCCCGGGGCTCGCACCTGGTTTTTTTCCCAACCATCCTGTGGTGTTGGGTCTTCGTTTTGAAGAGACAGCGCCCCGCGTCACTCACTCCTCCTCGCCTTCCCCCCTCCGCCGCCCGCATGCGTCACCCACATCCATGTCGGCACACCCCTCACACGTTTCGAGGCCCCAAAGGGAGCTCCAACGAAAGCCCTGGCGCCACCGCCCGCATGCGTCACCCACGCCCATTTCAGCACACCCCTCGCACGTTTCGTGACCCCCTAGGGAGCTCCACCGAAGGCCCCAATGCAACCGTCCGCATGCGTCCCGCACACCCATTCCAACACACCCCTCCCACGTTTCGTGGCTCCATATGGAGCTCTATGGAAGGCCCCAGTACCACCGCCCGCATGCGTCACGCACACCCATTTCGGCACACCCCTCCGACGTTTCGTGGCCCCATAGGGAGGTCCACCGAAGGCCCCAGTGCCACCGCTTGCGTGCGTCACCCACACCCACTTCGGCACACCCATTTCACGTTTCGTGGCCCAATCTCGGGGCCATCGTGGGCGTCTTGGAACGATCCATCGGCGACTCGGGGCCCTCTTGGACCATCTTGTGGGCCTCTTGGGGCGCTCATGGCCCGTCGTGAGGGCCGTGGCGCGTTCAGCCAGGGCCGGCCGGACCCCCCCCCTCCAAACCGACCGGACCGGGCCCCGGGGGGAGGGGTTTAGGGAGGGGGAAGCATCTCACACGCCGAAGACCCCACGGGGTCGGCGGATTTTTCCGTTCGTGCCCAAGATGTGTGGATGTCTCAGGCGGAACGCCCGTATTGGTTTCACCGCCTTATCGCTTTTCATGACCGTTTTACAACAATCCTGTAGCAGGCGTCGCATTTGGACACCCCACATTGTGGAGTGCCGCCAGGGGGTAGTACGCTTACCCGTTCGAGTTCAGATTGCGGGGATCCCGAGACGGACATTTTTGTTTCACTTTTCGGAGCCGCGTCGTCCACCGCGATATAGCAAACGCAACACTGATGCGCCCCAAGAGGGAGCCCCCAGGCGGCATCACATTTATCAGTTCGCGCCTAAGCTGCAGGGGTGTCTCAGGCGACGGGCTAGTTTTGGCTTCACCGACGCCTCAGGGACCCGTAACCACCGCGATGTAGCAGGAGTGGCTTTTTGGGCACCTCAGAGGAGAACCGCCACGGGGAACTGTTGGGGAATGGCGAACATCGATACTCCCTCACCCCGAAGGGGAAGAAGAGGGTTGGGAGAGGAAACGCCTTAGGCCACCTACGCCTTACAGTGCTGACAGACTGACCCGACGTCCTACACGACGTTTCAGACATTTACAGCACCTCGATCTTCCATCCTCCTCTGCCGCCCTCACCCCCCCGCAGAACTCCCATGGAAAGGAGGAGGAGGAGGACGAGGAGCAGGAGGAGGAGGACGAGAAGGAGGAGGAGGAGGAGGAGGAGGAGGAGGAGGAGGAGGAGTGAGGTCAAGCCATCCTGGAGATGGTCGGCTTCCCACCGCCTTGGAGGGGTGCTCCACGCGGCGACAGTTGACCAAGGATGACGTTGCTGCTGCCGCTGCTGCTTATGATCATGATGCTGCTGCTGATGAAGATGATGCTGATGCTGCTAATGATGATGCTGATGCTGATGATGCTGCTAATGCTGGTGATGCTGCTGATGCTGGTGATGATGCTGATGCTGATGCTGCTGATGATGATTCTTAGGATGCTGATACTGATGCTGATGATGATGCTGATGCTGATGATGATGCTGATGAGGATGGTGATGATGTTGATGATGCTGATGATGGTGATGCTGCTGATGGTGGTGGTGGTGATGATGAAGATGACGATGATGATGCGGCTGCTATTGCTGATGATGAGGATGGTGGTGTTGATGATGATGCTGATGATGTTGATGATGCTGATGATGATGCTTCTGCTGATGCTTCTGCTGATGCTTCTGCTGATGATGATGGTTAGGATGATGATGCTGATGATGCAGACGATGCTGATGATGCTGCTGCTGATGCTGATGGTGCTGATAATGATGATGATGATGGTGTTGATGCTGATGCTGATGATGGTGCTGAAGCTGATTCTGATGATGCTGATGATGATGACGATGATGATGATGCTGATGCTGATGATGCTGATGATGCTGATGATGCTGTGGATATGATGATGATGATGAGGATGATGATTATGATGCTGCTGGTGATGATGATGATGATGATGATGATGATGATGATGATGCTGATGCTGATGCTGATGCTGATGCTGATGCTGATTCTGATGATGATGCTGATGATGCTGATGCTGATGACGACGACGAGGAGGAGGACGAGGAGGATGACAAAGTATGATGATGATGAGGAGGTGGACGAGTGGAAACCCAAGAGTCATCAACGATGTCGGAACCAACCCTCCCTCCAAGCTCCCTCTTCATAGGCCCCTACAACGGTTCATTTGCATTGATCGAACTGCCTTGCTGGAAGACAACAGTTTGAAGATCCTGAAGCGTGCCAAAACATTGTTCTCGGGATTCCAACGCCACGTATGAACCTGCTTGCTGCGTCTTGACGATCCAGAATGATGCCAGAACGCCATGTTTGGGACGTCAACACATGGAATCAACATAACTGTTGCGCCCGCATAATCCTGAATCCTTTCAAAACACAACTTTGGTTCGTTGATCATGAGAGTCCGTGAAACTCTTGCAAGTTTTTGAAACGAGTGTGCGCGGCGCTAAAGCGAGAGCCACATTTTGAAAAGGAACCGCCCTCAATCCGTGAAGCTCTTTGTAAAATGCTAGAACGAATGTGCGCGGCGCGAAGGCGAGAGCCACATTTTGAAAAGGAGCCGCCCTCAATCCGTGAAGCTCTTGTAAATTTCTAAAGCGCGGCGCGAAGGGGAGAGCCACATTTTGAAAAGGAACCGCCATCAATCCGTGAATGTCCTGCAAATTTTTAAAACGAATATGCGCGGCGCGAAGGCGAGAGCCAGATTTTGAAAACGAGCCGCTTTCAATCCGTGAAGCTCTTGCAATTCTTTAAAACGCATGTGCGCGGCGCTGAGGCGAGAGCCACATTTTGAAGGCGACCCGCCCTCCATCTGTGAAGCTGTTGTCACTGTTTAAGCTTCAGAGTCAAAAGTGGTGAGGAAGTCTCAGGCGAAACGCCCGGCCCGCCCTAAAAACTGGCCTCGGGGTGCGACAGGGAGGAGTTATCTATAAGGAGAAGGCTGGAGGATGAGGAGGAGAAGGAGGACGAGGAGCAGGAGCAGGAACAGGAGCAGGAACAGGAGCAGGAGGATGAGGAGGAGGAGGAGGAGGAGGGGGAGGAGGAGGAGGAGGACGGAGGTGACGCAGAGCCTAGGAGAGGAGGCATGGAGAGGAGCACTGCCGCCCAGAGCTGGAGGACGGGCGAGGCCCTGGGGCTTCCGCCCCGCAGGGGCCTCTCGGCGGCGGTCAGGGGCCGCCCCCGCGGCGTGCTGGCCGCGCGGAGCGCAGGGGGGCGGGGAGGCATCGAGCCCCCCTCGGGCACTCGTCTCTTCCCTCTGCGCCTCTAATGTCCCCAGCCTGAAGCCCGAGAGGAGTGTCCAGGCGTCCCCTCACTGGCGGGAGCGGGATCCGCGATCGGCCGTCCGCACCGCCGTCCTCCTTGCCCCCCCTGGGGAGGAGGGCCACCGCTCCGCAGCCCGGGGGAGGGCAGGGGCCCTGGCGCGCCCCCCCCGGGGCGGGGGGGAGGGGGGAACGGGCGGGCGGGCCGGGCGGGCGCGCTGCGGCGGCCGCCCTGGCGGCGGGCTGGACCGCGGAGCGCTTGGGACTCGCAATTGGCGGCGCGCCAAAGGACCGGTGACGGCGTCGCCGCCTCCGCCGCCGTCTTCGCGGTCGCCGTTGCCGTCGTCGTCGTCGTCGTCGTCGTCGTCGTCGTCGTCGTCGTCGTCGTCGTCGTCGTCGTGGTCGTCGTCGTGGTCGTGGTCGTGATCGTGGTCGTGATCGTGGTCGTCGTCGTCGCCGTTGTCGTGGTCGGGGTCGTCCTCGTGGTGGTGGTCGTCGTCGTGGTCGTGGTCGTCGTCGTGGTCGGGGTCGTCCTCGTGGTGGTGGTGGTGGTGGTCGTCGTCGTGGACATCGTAGCCGCTGTCGTTGGCGGCGTCGTCAGCGCCGCCGTTTTCGCGGTCGCTGTCGTTGCCTTCGTTTTCGTCGTTGTCGTCGTCGTCGTAGTCGTCGTAGTCGTCGCTATCGCCACTGTCGTCGTGGTCGCGAAGGGCAAACGAGGAAATATCTCTTATGATGGCTACTTTCTTCAAGATGCTAGCGCCATTCGAAACAGCGCTTCCTGGCGCCACCTGGCAGTGGGGAGGGACGGGGTGGGTGGGGGGGGTTTCGGGAACCAGGCCTCCCCCCCCCCCCCAGAAAGGAGGAGGGGGCGTGCAAACCCCTCCCCCCCCCGCTCCCCTCCCCGAGCCCTCCCGGGGAGTTTCGAAGCCCCCCCCCCAACCGCCGGCAGCCGCCGCCGACGACGACGACGACAAATTACATTCTTGCGCTAGGGGGGGGTGTTCGAACCCCCCCCTTCCCCCAGGCCCTCCTGGGGGGTTTCGAAGCCCCCCCCCCCCAACCGCCGGCAGCCGCCGACGACGACGACGACGACGACAACGACGCTGACGACGACGACGACGACGACGATGACGACACATTACATTTTTGCGCTAGGGGGGGTTCGAACCCCCCCCCTTCCCCCAGGCCCTCCCGGGGGGTCTCGAGCCTCTTCCCCCCCCTACTCGCCGCCGGCAAACGACGACGACGATGACGACGACGACGACGACGAGGACGACGACGACGGCGACGACGACGACGTCGTCGCTCAGACACTCTGTCAGACATTTTGTCTTCTTTGTCTGTGCTCTCCCGCTGTCAGACATGTTGTCTCGTTTATCTCTGCCTCGGCTTGGCGTTCAGGGACGCTTCGCCAACGTCCGTCCAGGACCGCACGCGCTGTCCTTTTCCTCCTGGCCACGGTTGCGAGTCGGAGACGCGCGCTTTACTGCGCTCCTGTTGAATGACAGGCCCCTGCGGTCTGTAAGACCGCCAGGGACCTCGCGCTCAGCCTTTTAGCATGCCTGCCCGCCATTTAGCCTTCGAGGGTTCCATGGAAGTGGAGGTCAACTTGGGTTGGGATGGGACTGACTTCTCTGAAGTTGTTCACTTGGTGCGCTGCATATGATTTTTGTAAGTGGTCTGCTAGCTGCAGCGCCGCCGCCGCGTGAAGATGGTTCAACGCGCGTGCAATCCAAAAATCCTCTTCCCTCCTGCCTCGTCCCTTCTCCCTCCTTCCTCCTCCCTCCTCCTTCCTCCTTCTTCCTCCCTCCTCCTCCTCCTCCTCCTCCTCGTCCTCCTCCTCCTCTTCCGCCTTCTGGCGATAATGGCTACCGCGGGGGGGGGCCCAGAAGCGTCGCGATTTTCCCCCGTGGCATCTGGGAGTGGCCGAGGAAGGCGGCGACGATAATGATGACGAAGACAGCGCAGGCGCAGACGAAAACGACGACGACGACGGCAGTGGTGGCGGCGACGGTGACGAGGGCGTCAACGACTGCGACGACGACGACGCCGCCGACGACGCTGCCGCCGACGCCGACGCCGACGGCGACAGCGACGGCGACGACGCCGACGACGGCGACGCCGCCGACGACGACGACGGCGACGACGACAGAAACGCCGACGCCGACGCCGACGACGACGTCGACGACGACAACGACGCCGCCGACGCCGACGCCGACGCCGACGCCACCGCCGACGTTGTCGACCGACGACCGACGACCGACGACCGTCGACCGACATTCGACCGCCGACGCCGACGACCGAAGACGTCTGGAGGCCTTGGGAGCCTGTGGAGGGCTTCGGAAGTCTCTCTGGATGCTGTCGGATGTCCCCGCAGAGGTTTCCGGAGGTCCCAGAGGTCTCCAGAGGCAACTGGTGGCGCAAGTCGTGACGTGTCCGGAGGGGGGGGGGGCGGGGTCGGTAATCAGTTAACGGGCGATATCGTGAAATTGTTGGAAAAACGTTCTTTTTTGATGAAGAGGGGTGGCTTGGACCAAAGGATGTGTTGCAGCATCGTTTATGGATGCGGTTCTCTTTCTCGTCCTCCTCCTCCTCCTCCTCCTCCTCCTCCCGTCGCCCTCCGCCCTCCTCTTCCTCCTCCTCCTCGTTCCGACGCCTTCCGCATTGAAATCCATTCAAAATCCCGTCCCCCGATTCCTGGGTTTTCTCATCCCAGATCCATCCCTGAGTACCCCAGGGGCCGACACGGGCCCAGTCGCTCGACTCGTAGTCGCTCGGCTCGGTTTTATATTTGTTGTTGTTGTTGTTGTTGTTGTTGTTGTTGTTGGTGTTGTTGGTGTTGGTGTTGGTGTTGGTGTTGGTGTTGGTGTCGGTGACGTTGTCGTTGTCGTTGTCGTTGTTGTTGTCGTTGTCGTTGTCGTTGTCGTTGTCGTTGTCGTTTTTTTGTTTTTTGTTTTTGTTTTTGTTTTTGTTGTTGTTGTTGTTGTTGTTGTTATTGTTGTCGTTGGCGTTGTCGTTGTTGTTGCTGTTGCTGTTGTTGTGGTTGTTGTTGTTGTTGCTGTTGCTGTTGCTGTTGCTGTTGTGGTTGTGGTTGCTGTTGCTGTTGCTGTTCTTGTTGTTGTTGTTGTTGTTGTTGCTGCTGCTGCTGCTGTTGTTGTTGTTGTTGTGGTCTTTGTTGTTGTTGTTGTTGTTGTTGTTGTTGTTGTTGTTGCTGTTGTTGTTGTTGTTGTTGTTGTTGTTGTCGTTGTTGTTGTTGTTGTTGTTGTTGTTGTTGTTGTTGTTGTTGTTGTTGTTGTTGTTGTCGTTGTTGTCGTTGTTGTTGTTGTTGTTGTTGTTGTTGTTGTTGTTGTTGTTGTTGTTGTTGTTGAATTCTCATGTCTGAAGAATAATTAATGTTGATCCCCCCCACTGGTGCATACTGTTTTTTCTCAATCAAAGTGTGCCCCTCGACGCTCGCACCCTGTTTTTTGACAGGGACAGTCTTGATGCTCAAACTGGGCCCCTGGCCCCCGTGTTACAACAACAACAGCGGCTCCCGCATGAGACTTCCTTACAATTTAGCTAGGACCCCCGCTCCCGCCCGAGACTTCCTCGCATTTTACTCAGGCATCGCGCTCTCGCTTGGGACTTCCTTAAACTTTATTCAGGAATCGCCCTCCCGGCGCTCTGGAGTCGCGCTCTCGCTGGAGACTCGCTTGCAACTGCTCAAGAATGGCCTTGCGTTGGATTTTCTTGCAATTTGCCCAAGCGCCGCGCTCCCGACACCCAGGCACCCAGGAGTCGCGCCCGTTGTGGTCCCATGTGCATGCCCTTCGTGGCCCCTCTGTCGCCATTTGTGTTCCCCTCACTGTCCTACGTGGCCCAGTTGCTACCCTCAGTGGCCCCATAGTTGCCGTCTGTGGCCCTGCATTATCTGCACTTCGTGGCCCCCGCTCGTTCGCGCTCTTCGCGGCCCCACACGCATTCCCTTCGTGTCCCCGCTGTCGCCCTTCGTGGCCTACTTCGTGCCCTTCGTGGCCCTGCTGTCGTTCTCTCTCGCTCTCGCTTTCGCTCGTCGTCGCCGTCTTCGTCGTCGTCGCCGTCGTCTTCGACGTCGTCGTCGTCGTCGTCGTCGTGGCCGGCCCCCTGTCCGTCCCTCTTGGGGTCGGGTCGACGGTCCGCGACCGCCCCGCCGATCAGCGCTGCCGCTGGCCAGGCCGACGGTCCGCGGCCGCCCCGACGCTTGCCGGGGCCCGGCCTGCAGGGAAGAAAGGTCTACCCCCCAAAAGGGGTTCGATCGAAGACGAAGAGGGCGGGTATCGAGGGTTTGGGAAATACGCGTTATTGGAGACTCGAGCATATAAGGGCGAACAGTCTTAACATTATTATTGTTGTTGTTGTTGTGGTTGTTTGTTGTTTGTTGGTTGTTGTTGTTGCGTTTGTGGAGTACCCAATCCTAAATTATAGTTATTGCTGATCTCTGGAAACGGTTCCGCGCGCTCTCGCCTTGATGCCGCTATATTTTCTGTGAAAACAAGGCTCCCGTTCGAGCGTTGGCTTGAGCCTAACTGTGGGCCCTTGGAGGCCCAGCTACGACAACAACGGCTCCCGCTCGATACATCCTCACAATTTACCCCGAGACACCCTGACTAGAGAGGCCCCCGAACTCAGGAACGGCGCTCTCGCTCGAGACTTCTCGCAATTCAATGAAGTTGGCGGAGGCCCAGCCACGACGACAAGGGCTCCTGCTCGACACTTCCTCACGATTTACTACTCTGAGAGCCCCTGGCCAAGAAGGCCCCCGAACTCAGGATCGGTGCTTTCGCTTGAGATTTTCCTGTGATTCAGGGAAGTTGGTGGAGGCCCGGACACGGCGACAATGGCTCCCGTTTGATACTCCATCGGTATTCCGAGAGCTTTTGGCCAGAGAGGCGCCCGAATTCAGGAACGGCGCTCTCGCTCGAGACTTCTTCGCACTTCAGTCAGTGGCCGACACGGAAGAGATTTCCCCGAAAGGGGGTGCAATCGAAGACGAAGTGGGCGGGGGGTATACGGAATTCAAGACAAGCGTGTCAGTAAGAGCGAACAGTCTTAAACTGATTGTTGTTGTTGGTGTTGGTGTTGGTGATGCTGCCTGCTGTTGTTGTTGTTGTTGTTGTTGTTGTTGTTGGTGTTGTAGTTATTATTGTTGTTGCTGGTGTTGTAGTTGTTGTTGTTGTTGTTGTTGTTGTTCTTGTTATTGTTCTTGTTCTTGTTATTGTTCTTGTTCTTGTTCTTGTTGTTGATGATGATGTTTTTTTGTTCATTTGT